CCGGGGGGCCGAAAGGAGACCCTGTCTTTTCTGTTGGTCCTGGACCCTGGCAGCTCGCTTGTCACCTTTATAGGGTCCCATCTGTGATTGGTGGCAGAAAGAGGTACAGAGGGAGGTGAGGAGGGTGGGGGCTCCTGACGGCTACGCAGCAAGACCCAGGTCTAGCGTAGGACTCTGCAGTTATGGGACTTCATATGTCCCTCTAACCCCATGATGTCCTGCTTCTGGCTTTTTCAAGTGGGAATTTTAACTGGAAAACATGGAAAACATCCTAAGCGACATTTGCTAAACCAAAGCAGTCTGGTCCCTGAGGCCCAAGTCACATCTAAGGTATTTGCTCTAACGGCTGGACACACTCCAACTTTTAACTCAAGAAAATTAGAATCCATTCTGGGGGCTTGGTTGTTTCCTCACCTACAGAGATCAGAAGCCCGAAGGTGTCTAGCATCACATCCCGGTATAGCGACCTCTGGGCGGGCTCCAGCTGCCCCCACTCCTCCTGGGTGAAGTCCACGACCACGTCCTCAAAGGTCACTTGTTCCTGAAACATCACACATGACTGCCTCAGCCAGCTGAAGAGGGGTTGGTGAATGATGACAAAGCCACGCTGGGTGGCAGGATTCTCTCAGGTATGGTTGGCCCGACGAGCAGGTGGCAGCATACTCACCGGGGTCCCAGCCTCAAGGAGCCCAGCCGTCATCCCCTCCTCTGGCCTCTTGCAGAACAGCTGGCTCTTGTGCAGCAGTGCTGGGCGAAAGGGGATGCGAGAGACTGAGCGGGCCCTGTGCCGACTACAGACCCCAGGCGGCAGGTCCCCTGATTGCGGGTAGAAGAGCCCGGATGCCAGAAGCGGACCCCAGCACCCAGGCCAGACCTGACAGCGGCAGACCTCGGCTTGCGTTTTCTGAGCGCCTGCTGTGTGCAAAGGGATATTCCAGGCACTACCGATGAATGACCTCAAACTGTTCCCCCCTCATTCCAAAGACAGGAAAACAGGACTAGGGTGGGAAGAGGCACACCGCTGAGTGCAGCTGAATTCCAGGGTGATGACGATTCGTGACTATCACAGAAAGCCAGACAGGTCTGGGGTCCCTGGGAACTGCGTGGTGTGCCTCAGTTACCCCCTCCCCATAAAAGGAGGGTGTGACCCAACATGGGTATGACCAGAATTTAAGTGTGAAAAGGACTGACAGCGGAGCGCAGCAGCGGTATACACTTGACGGTGACTGCTGCCGGCAGGGAAGCCTCGAGTTTCAGTGAGCGTCACAGTCTAAGACACAGGTACCGCTACCTGTTCCTGGTGCCTTGTAAGCTCCTCACGGGGTATTTTCCCCCAAAGAAACTCAGGCACAAGGTAGGATACCTTTCCCTCGTCTCTGTACCTTCCCTTCGTGACTCTGAGTGACTGTGCGCTCAGTTCTGCCCCGCCCTGTTGTGCCTCGTCTTCACTGCAGTGTCCAGGATGGGAGTGACCGCCTTCAGTGATGTGTTCATGGGTTTTTAAAAATCATCTCCCCTGTAGGTTTCAGGGGACGGAGACCATGTTGGGGGTCTATGCAGAGGCTCCTGGACCTAAGACAGGGCCTGGCACCCAGAGCATCTAAATCTCTGTGATACTAATTAGTAAAGGAGCCTGGACGGTGCCAGGCATGCAGTCAGAGATCAATAAGCGTTCAATATAACGAGTCTGATTTCTCCGTCCCAGGCGACTGAGATTAATATTTTGTGCCTCTCAGGAAGGTGAGGTTCCAGATGAGACCTTGGTGATCACCAAACTTGGACCCCAACGTCCCACTAAAGCAGGAGAGGTATGCAGGTTAGGCTGGCTCCAGTCTCTGAAGGGCCCGGTCGACTGCCTCTCCGACTGTGACCATACCCAAAAAGGAGACTGTGACCCCTCTGCCAAAGCGAGGGTCGCACAGCTGCCTCAACCTCTCCTCTCGAAACCTTGGACTCCGAGAACCGGGTCCCGCCCACTCCGCTGGCACCCAGTTTCCAGAAGCGACTCTCCCCGAGCCTAAACAGCAAAAGAGACTCCGCACAGACACGTGCAGCTTGGTACCACGGCCGAGACCCCAGGGAAGACCCCGGATACCGCCTGGGTTGGCCTCCCTCGCCCCAGACACCCCAGATATCACTTACCCACCGGACGATCGGACAAAGGCGGCGCCGCCACTGCCTGGGAATGCGCCTGCGCCCACAGTCGCC